GCAAATGTCGAAAATTGTGTCGAGAAATTGCGGATCATGAAACATTCATTATCGTTGATGACGAGAAATATTTTACTTTTTCAGGCGACGATATGCCTGGAAATGCTGGATTTTATGCTTCTGACAAAGAAAACACTCCACCAGATGTGAGGTACAAATGCAAACAAAAATTCGCTCCCAAAATATTAGTTTGATTGGCATTATCCAGCAAAGGCATTTCAACACCATACATTGGAACAACGAAAGGCCCAGCCGTTACTGCCGACGTATATGCTGAAAAATGTTTGCCAAAATTGTTGACATTTATCAATAAACGTCATCCTGATGATAAATATATCTTCTGACCGGACTTGGCTAGCTCACATTATGTCAAACAACCAACAAAATGGCTTAATGGGCGAAAGGTACCATTCGTGCCAAAATGTGCCAACCCACCAAATGTTCCAAAAACCCGACCAATCGAGGATTTTTGATCGATATTGGCTGATAAAGTGTATAATAGAGGTTGGACAGCTACGAATGAGAACCAATTGGTCAACAGAATTAAAGCGCAGTTGAAAAAAATTGATTTGAAAGTCGTCCAAACCATGATGAAAGGTGTTCATAGAAAATTGCGAAAAATCGAAGACAAAGGACCTTTTTCTATTTTGTAAATATATGGTTTTGTCCATCTTGTGTCATTGTATTTCTGATAAAGGAAATAGAAAAAAGCTAAAGATGATGTAGATATAAGCATTTCTTTTTTGTCCGAAAACTTTCGGATCACCCATTATATGTATTTTCATCGTTTTAGTAAAGTTACTTCCTTTTTAAAGTCGAAAAAATTCTTTTGTTTTGTTTTTAGAAAATTAGATGAAGAATTTAATGAAAACGAAGAAGCAACAAGTTCACCAAGAACATGATCAAAGGCAGAATTACGTAACTCTACATGTTGAAAATTTTTCTTTTTTCTTATTGTTTGCCTTGGATGAGCTGTTTTTTGTGCTGCTCAACTGGATTGCATGCTGTATCTGGTATGTCGTTTTGATCTCGTTCATCGTATCCGCATCTCTTTTTTCGTACAAGCTGAAAAGAAATCTTGTTTTTTGTAAAAGTGAAAATTTGTCTGTATCAAAAAAAGGAATGTAGCTCTTTGTTGAACATTGACTACTATTCATACCAAAATACAGCGCCGGGTGCCACTTTTTGAATAACTTTTGATAGGAATGAGATAGAGACCTGTGATTTTCGCTGTTCAATAGCCAAAACTTAAGCAGAACTTTTCACAAGCGGAAGCAACTTTTGAAAAAATTCCAGAGATCGGGTTTTCAGAGGATCTTTGAAAAACCAGCTCCGTTCTCAGAAAACTAACATACAATGTTACTAATTTTTTTGCATGCGTAGATAGTTCGGACGTTACTCTACAAAATTATGCAACTCTCGGCTCTCTAGCTATCGTCGTTCGGACAGGGCTCGCTTTCCCCGAGCACGTGTCTATCTCCGAGCAGACATCTCTGGGAATCTCAAAATGCCATGGACTATAGGTAATCGACTACACTGAGCATAGTAGCAACATTTGTTTTTATGTAGAAATGAATATAACTTCGCCAGAGGCATTTTTGTGAAAAACCGGTTTTTCGCCTGTTACTAGCAAAAATTAAAATCCTTATATCCCGATCAAATCTCATGCTCACTCAAGGAAATTTTCAGAAAACGCTCAGAACAGCTCATAAAGCATAATCGAAGACGAAAAACGTGAATGTGAGCTGGGCATTGGATTAAGGTTTTCCAGAAACCTTCTGAAAAACCTCAGAGCATCAGTATTCTGCTGGACCACTTTTTTGGCGTGGTCAACAACATATGACACCTTTTAAGCCTTTCCTGAAAATTTCCTTGTTGCAAAAAAATTACTAACATTGTATGTTAATTTTCTGAGAACGGAGCTGGTTTTCCAAAGATCCTCTGAAAACCCGATCTCTGGAATTTTTTCAAAAGTTGCTTCCGCTTGTGAAAAGTTCTGCTTAAGTTTTGGCTATTGAACAGCGAAAATCACAGGTCTCTATCTCATTCCTATCAAAAGTTATTCAAAAAGTGGCACCCGGCACTGTATTTTGGTATGGATAGTAATAAGTGTACAAAGTGTATGATTTTTTACTATATTAGAAGTATACTTCTTTTGCTTCCTTTCGTCACATTCTTACAGGGCAGAGTAATAACAGACTGCGGATGAACTTCCACATCTTTCAGGTAAATAAACTTAAAAAATGTATTAGATATTTCTATTGGTTGATGCTTTTGGTTTTTCTTTTTTATCTGCTTTATGCTGTATGTTTCTGCTATTTTCTCTGTGTGTACTCTATACGCCACCAGTGCACCACGAATAAAACACAAACTTCTCTTGCGTAGCAAAAGATGACTAATCTCCAGAAGAAAATCATCCTTTCTCATGCATGTCTTTACCAAATGTGTGTTGTGTTGACGTATGCGACATAAAAACTGAAACGCTGCGTTCTTATGATTCATCAGTATTTTTCTTCATTGAAATTGAAGAGAAAAGAACGAAGAAATATCTGACACATATCTACGTTTCTCTTTCGTGACATCAGTTGATGCAAGAATTGCAAAAGTTTTGCATCTACATACGCACAGTAAATTAAATTTCCTAAAAAGTCATTTACACAGGGTACATATTGAATATCAAAAAAGAGAAGTAGGCTACATATTTTAAGCAGTAGTTTTCAAATAATAAACTATCCCTGGTACATGTTCTGGCAGTTTTAAACTAAAGTTCAGATTTCGGAGCAAGTATTATTGGGTATTCTACATCACGGTAGTGTTTCCCTGCTTCCTTATCACTGCTAATACTAATAGAATAGTGAGAGAAGTGTGAGATTTCAACAAAAGCAGTGTTCTGTATGTGATTGACTCTTGGAGTTTGGATAGGTACCAGTGCATGTCAATCATAGGCATACCATTCCATAATATCGGGTGGTCCAGATATAGTGGGTGTTTTTGTTTTCTGTTCCTCTCCATACAATCTTAACCTTTTTGGAATTTCTTTTAGCGAAAGATGCGCAATGAAATTCTCAACAAACCATGCCTAAACTTTAATTTCAGAGCTTCAGGCAAGAAAACTGCGCAAATTATACGAAAGGAGAAAAAATGAAAACTTTCCAAATTCAAAAACGATTTCCTGTATTAACGTCTTGAGAGTAAGAAAACCTGAATCAGCGATTATGTAGTCCTTCTTTGGTCAATCTTTCAGCTACATTTCACAGTTTTTCACATCAAAACCCACGAAGAAATAATCATTTTTCTATCAGTTGTCACGCATTTTTCGATTAATTTTTTAAATTCTGGGTATAGTGGTGCTTTCAGTAAAAGTCCCATAATTTTATCGAAACAAAAGATTTTTGATTTCTTTTGATCAAAAATGATCGTTCTACTCTACCTAAACGCAAAACCGAAACTTCGATCACGTTTTCCATTTCTTGCTTGACCACATTGTTGGAAGCTGGCGGTGGTCAGTTTTTGTAACTTCGTTCTCGGCTTGTGTACAGGTAACGCGATCATATTTTCAATATGCTTACTTTCTCACACTTGTGAGCAGGAATAAAAGAGAATGTTGCATTATTTTACAGATCCGGATGGCTTCTATACGAGATGTAAAAAGGTTTAAAGTATGACCTATCGTTCAAATACTGCAGCGTTTATATCGCCGGTAACGTGATGATATTTTAACCGTTTTCTTGGTTTTTATTTAATTAATACAGATGAAATGAGCTAATTTTGATATTTAAAAACTATTACATTCTGTAGAGCAAACAATTTTCTACAACCTGATATACTTGTTGGATTTTCATCTGCTCGTCTTCACGCTTTTAAACACGTTTTCAAGATAGCTTCAAAATTGATCTTTTGGGCTATTTGTATTTCTTTTGGCAGCTGTATTTTCATAATGAATCAACTTCCAGAACCGAGACACTTCTTATTTTATAGAGAGATATTTTAATCTATCTAATTATCTATTTGGAATCTTGGATTAGTCTGTAGTTTTAATGCAAGAATTTTTTGAAACAGAACAAGAAAAGGGTACCGTTAGGCGGACAAGCCAGCATTTTTCCAGCACAGCATCTACTCTAAGAAAATATTTTACAGACTACAAGTAAGAGCACATTCAAAAGTACAAAAGAATTACGTTCTCGCTTTTGCTACATTATTTTACGGAAATAACAGCAGGAGAAAAACGTTCAAGTAAAAAAAACCAGATTTACAAAGTTTTCATTTTCTTCTCCTTTCATATAATTTGCGTAGTTTTCTTGATTGAAGTTCTGAAATTAAAGTTTAAGCATGGTTTTGTTGACAATTTCACCGCGCATCTTTTAGTAAAACAAATTCGAACAAGGTTGAGACTGTACGGAGTAGAACACAAAACAAAAAACACGCATTATATCCGAACCACCCGATAGTTGGAGATATATGCACCTTTTTTAGTTTTTTTTGAACTCTCAGAATCGGTTTTGAAACGACCAACGGAATGTCTCTTAGTCAAGAAAAACATATAAGCTTTTAAATCCAATCGAATGTAAATCTTTTGATTATTATGGTTTATTTCAGATTTATTTTAATAGACTTACTCAGAAAAAACATTGACAAACACACACACAGTAAAATTCGAACAAGCGATGGCAGATACAGCATTGAACGAAGAAGAAATCAAGGAATATTTTGATTCGCCTGGTGGGCTGCATTTTTACTTGTCTGATTTACTTTCTAAAAATTATTTTTATTTTTATTGTTTAAACACAAAACTTATTCTCTTTACAATGTGACCTCTATTAAGACCGTACTTGTAATTAAATTACTAGAGCTAATCTCCAAAACAAACCACAAAAATATTGAAAAACACTGTTTATAACGATAATCTTATTCCATACGTTATTTTTATTCTAAATTTTTTCTAACTCTTATTTTTTATTCTTTGAATAGAGGAACTTGAACAAAAAGTAAAGAAATTGGCTATGTTTATCCGTCATTCTAAACATTTTGTATGTTATACTGGAGCAGGTAAATAGAAAACTAATTTTTTTATACTTAAAATTCATTTCATACTTTTTCCCTCTCAGGAATATCAACGTCAGCTGGAATCAATGATTTTAGAGGTCCTAGTGGAGTCTGGACGGCCAAAGCAAAAGGATTGGTTCCAGTTGCATCTAAACAAAATCCAGAGCCGACAATTACACACATGTCACTGGTGCAGCTAATGAGAAATGGATACTTAAAGTTTCTCGTTTCACAAAATTGTGATGGTTTACATCTGAAGAGCGGTATTCCCGTGGATAAGATTGCGGAACTACATGGAAATAGTATGGTTGAAGCATGTGCAAAATGTGGAAAAGTTTATTATAAAGGGAAACGAGTTCAACATTCTAGAAATAAGACAAGATTAACAGGTATTTCCAACAGGAAGCACTCAAACTTTTATTCTTAAAGCTTTCGTATTTTAGGAAACATGTGTAATTCTGAATGCGGTGGTAGTTTAAGATGTACAACTGTTGCCTTCTCACAATCAATGCCAGATGTTTGCTTTGATATAGCGGAAAAACAATCAAAGATGAGTGATTTAAGTCTTTGTATGGGTACATCAATGAGAGTAACACCTGCTTGTGAACTTCCAACAATGGGATTAAAACGTCGTGGAAAAATGGTTATTGTTAGTAAGTTTAACAATTTAGAAAACGTGATTAGCTTTTCTTGTTTTCTAATTTTTCTTCTTCGCTAAAGATTTGCAAAACACACCCTATGATCATCAGTGTGCGTTGCGTATTTTTGCAAAATGTGATGATGTTATGAAAATGCTAATGAGTGAACTAGATTTACAAGTTCCAGAATGGCAAGATTTGAACTTAGTTGAAGATCAGGAGTGGATGACTCAATTTGACAAGTATTGGCCCTTCAGGTATATAATAATTGTTCGTTGTCATTTTTCTTGTCAGCCGTCAACTTCAGTTTCGTATTGTCTTATTCTGTAGAACTGCTGGATCAACAGACTGGTTTGATGGAAATATTTTTTAAATTGATGTGAAAAAATGTAAAAAGTACTAAAAAAAGCAATGTTCGACGTTATCACTGAGAAAGAAAAATGATAGCACAAGTGTTAAGTTTCCGTTTTCATTATGACATTCATCGGTAACACTGTTTGTTTTTCTGATTTATTTTTAACGTAAATCATTAATAAATGAAAAACAGATCATACCGCCGTAGTTTAGGGGAGCCGTCAAAATTATCATCAAAGCCACCGGAACAACCGTAAATAATGTAAAGCGCTCCTCTGTGATGTTGCATAAGGGAGAAATATATAAAATCTATCTTTTCTTCGTTTTATTCATTTTTTTCTATAGATTACGTTTTTATATCGCACGTCAAAGAACACATTCACTGTGCTAATTAACTATAGGTAATATATATATTCTATGTATACATGCTTTATGGGCCTATTAAGACAAAATACAATGAGAATTCCATGAAAAATTACTTTAAATTAATTAGTATACTTTAGAAAATAGAATATACGAGATAAAATCTGTAAAAAAAAAGAAACACACAACATATATCTGACAATTCACAGAAAGATAGAGAATTTTCCGGATATCCTCTTGTTTCGTCCCGTATTTTTTAATTAGCTCTCGTCCCATACTTGTTTCGTCCCACACTCGTATTCGTCCCGTTTATTTCCTACCATTCTACTCATTTTATAACTATTCGTTTTTTTCTATCAACTGTATACTAATCAATATTAATACAATTAATTAAGATAATGTAAGAAACTGGTACATGGCTTTATAAGTTACATTTATTATTTTATTTACGAGTTACAATGAAACAGGTAATTTTAAAGTATTAACACATTCGCCATATTTAATTGCAAGTTCAATTCCAGACAAAGTAACATTTTTATATCTTTTAAAAATATTCCTTCAGTTTTAATATTCACATGCAATACACGTTATACAGAATCTTTCACACAAACAGTCAAACGGAAGAGAGTGTACAACAAGTGCGATAATAAATTGAAGCAATATTTTTAAAAGATATAAAAATGTTACTTTGTCTGGAATTGAACTTGCAATTAAATATGGCGAATGTGTTAATACTT